GACAGCATTTATTGGGCTTGTCAATGACCTTTGCTGGAGCTAGAATAGGATGGTGTGTCTATCCTCCAGCTCATCTCTCAGCAGCTTTTGATACTGTCAATCACAGTATCCTGGACTGGCTTTTGGGGTTTGAGTGTGAGGGGCATCTTGTTACAGAGGTTCTTTCTCTAGGGTTGGGTCCAGTCAGTGTTGACAATGGGGAGGGGTCATAGTACAGGAGCCAGTTTTGGGCTGATTTTCTCATCCCTCAACCACTGGGTGAGGTCATCCATCATTTAGGGCCCCAATATTAACAGTAAGTTAATGTTCCTTCTCCTTCATTGATGTTAATGTTCATCATTTAGCAGAATTCTAAATGGAAAGATATGAAAGGTGGTATCTGAGATGTCAAATGCAGCATTATGCTGGCAGGGGATCTGCAGACAACATTTTTACCTTTGGCATGTTCCTATGAAATGGTACACTTTGCTTGTCAGAAGGCCAAAAGGGCTAATCACATGACCCTGGGACATTGCAACTGTCATTAATATGAACCAGTTTGCTAGGTTTCTGAATTTTGATCACTTGAACTTGGGAATGCTGCAATGGTCGTAAGTGTGAAAATCGGTTATAAGTCACTTTTTTCAGTGCTGTTGTAACTTCAAGCAGTCACTAAACAAACTGTTGTAAGTCAAGAACTACCTGTACAGATATAGTGGAAAGAGGGATGTTTTACAAGAATAGTAAAGTATCATATGCTATTGTATAAAATAGATTTAATTAGATTTTTTTAAAATCTAGCTTACATTTAATTTCTTTTGCTCATTATTTCTCATATAACATTTAACCTGATGACTTCCTAGATACACATATTATTGTTCTCACCTTGTTAGGACATTACAACAGTGACCTCTACTGGTAATTCATTAGTTCTGTTACTAAAGAAAGGATAAGAAATCTCCCTATTTCTATAACTAAAACAGTAATAAAAATCTTTTATTAGCAGGGCAAAATAGAATTCTTACACAAGATGGTTATATTCAATTCAGTTCAATTCAGAGTATGTCACTTCTGTAACCCTGACAAGACTTTTCTTTGATCACCATTTATCCCTCGTATTACAATTTATGCAATACTGAATTCTGGGAGTTGAGGTACACACATCTTCAAACGGCCAAGGTTGAGAAACACTGGCCTATTTCACATAAAAATATTAGTTAGCAGGTCACCTTTAGGGTGAGAGGAACCTTATCCAAGTTTTATACATTCCATGCATGCAATATCTGGCATATAATCTCAGTATAATAATAAGTAAACTAACAAACTGTTCTGCTAGTAAGAGTTGTTGAAAGACTATAGAATAACAGAGCTGGAAGGGGCCATTTACCTATTGAGTCTACCCTAGATTAGTGCAGGACCAACCGAAATCATTTTAGACAAAAGGCCATATCTACTGCAGCTTCCACCTGAACACATTCAGAAAAAGGGAGCTCACCACTTCTCTAGGTAACTGATTCCACTATTACAAAGTTTTATTCTAACTTTCATTATGAATTGGCCTTCCTGTAATTTATTCTACAGATAGTCCTCCCTTAATAACTACCCTTTTGGGGACTGTTCAAAGTTACAACAGCACTGAAAAAGGAACTTTACAACTGTTCCTTGCACTTACAATCCTCTCAGCATCCCTGCAGTCATGAGGTTGAGATTCAGGCCCTTCGCAGGCAGCAGACGTTTATGACAGTCAAAGTGTCCCGTAGTCACATGATTACCATTTACATACTTCACAGCTTGCTTTCGATAAGCAGAGCCAATGGAGAAGCTAGCATTAAAATCTCAAGTCACAGTCATGCGGTGTCTTGTTTAACAACCACAAGTGATTTGTTTAATGATTGCAGAAGTGAGGTCATAAAAGGCCGAAGTGAGTTGTAAGCCCATCATAGTCATGTCACATTTCACCTAATCAGCATGGTGATTTACTTAACAGCCGCAGCAGAAATGAGGTTGTAAGCCTGTTACGATCACATGATATCTCACTTAGTGACTGCATCATTTAGCAACAGAATTGCTTTCTCAACTGTGATCGTTAAGAATTACCTGTATGTCCAAATCTCTGGAATGACAAGGGAAGAGTCCTTAAATGGAGCAGAAACAAATTTTGACCTTTTTCTGCTCAATATGCTTTCAGTTATTTGAAGAGAGCTATTATATTCTTCCCTCTATTTTCTCTTCTCAAGTTTAAAAATGCTCAACTTCCATTTTTCTTTAGGGACTTTGGTTTTAATTCTTTGATCATTCTCACATCCCTTCTGAATAATTTTTGGTGCCCAAAATTGTATACAGTACTTAAGATGGGGTCTGACCAAAGAACTATTGCTTCCTTATTTCCAAATAAATTTATTAAGAATTATACATGCAGAGAATAAAAGTCAATATAAAATACGAAAAATACAAACAACAAAATATCAGAAAAAGGAGGGATGTGAAGCAGAAAATGGAGAAAGAAAAAAAGAAACCTCTCTCTTCTTCCCAGCAGATAAAAATACATTTTAATAGCTTATCACCTCTAAATAAAACGTAATTTCTCTACTCCCCATAGCTTATCTCTGAGTTAAGGAAAACAAGCTCCAAATATTACATTAATCAATCTTTGTCAGCAAAAGTCCAATAAGGGCTATGACTAAGATATAACTATTTTCTTCTTTTAACCTTGTCAACAAGCCGATCTTATAAATCTTCTCTGATTTTTAAAAATTATTCTTTAACACTTTCAAAAAGAAGCCTCAGGGGTAGTGTGCTGTTAATCTGTGTTTCAAAGCAAAAATCCTTCAGAACTTTAACTTGTGTATCAATAAAAAAGTTATTTTTTTGTTTATTGCTTCTAAAACAGTCCTTTCAAATCTTAGAAGAGCTCTTTTGTTTATCCAGAAGAAAAAAATTATCCAGATAAATTTCCTGGTTTAATATTTGTTCATCTCCTTTAGGAAATGAGTCATCCATCAGATTTATTTGTATTACATTTAATTCCTCTTAAAATTCATGTTATAGGCATCCATTGCAGCTCATTCTTGTTTTACAACACAATAGAACATTTTCTACCAATTTTATCAAGCATTTATTCCATCCTGTCCGCAAACCTGGCTGAAAGGTATTTTAAAATTTTCACTAGGGATTTCTGCTCCATTTTCTTTATCTTCTGCCTCTATCTTCCTATTCCCTACCTTTCAATCAGAACTGAAAACGCTTCTTGGATGAGAAGTGAAACATTTTCAAGGAAAAAAACAAGTCCAGTTGCCTTTTGAAAATCATCTTTGAGATTCTGGCTCTACTGTTCAGTCTTCATGGTCTCCTTATCATTAAAAAACACACGCAAATGCAATCTACATTTTCCCATAAGAAAAATTCTTCCAAATAATTCAAAACTATATTCCAAATCCCTCTTACCCCTTAATCTGTTATTAACTTTCTAAAATCCTTATATTAAGCACTCTTTTGCTGCATAGTCCAAAAATTAATATATTTTTAAAACTTTTTAAATCAAATTTATACCATCATCTTTTAAGGAGGCTCACCCAATGAATGCAAGAAAACCTGGCCAGTGTGAAGAGTCTTAATCTCTCCAATATGAAAAAAAAATCCAAAAAGTAGTTAATATATAAGCCTTGGTAAAGGCTGCTTTGTAAGTGTGGGCTTGATGTAGTCCCTATTCTCAACCACCCTACTCATAAGCTGACCATAAAAAGAGATGTTTCTCAAGTCTACTCACAAGGAGTCACTGTTTCCAGTCACAGGGATGACCTCAATGATCTCTCCTTTGTCTGGGATGATTATGCCTGCTTCAATCCAGCATCAAGAGGTGATTCCCTTCGCAAAATCTATTTTGCTAGCCAGCAAAAGCCAGCAAGACATCAGCTCACCATTGGTTTTAGAGGAAATGTCCTAGAACTGTTGCATCCAATGATTTGAAAACTAGATTTCTGATGATGCAGTCTAAAACTAGATTTGCCTTTTTTACAGACACATCTATAAAAAAAGGAGTCAATCCAGTGCTGACTCATATTCAGTTTGCAATCAACTACTCTTTTTCACAAATATTGATAGCAAGCTAGATATCTCTTATGTTGTATCTCTGAACTTATTTGCTTTTTACAATCTTCATACTTTTGTACTTTGTACTCCTCTGTGTTAAATTTCATTCTGTTACTTTCAGTCCATTTCTTTAATTTTTCAAGATTTATTTGGATTTTATTTGGATTTAAATCTGTGTAAACCTTTCAACTATCTATTTGAAAATCTTCACCTCATGACACAATTTGTCTGAAATGGTATAGGGTTTCCTGCCTGAGCAGGGGGTTGGACTAGATGACCTTCCATTATTATTATTATTATTATTATTATTATTATTATTATTATTATTATTATTATTATTATTATTATTATTATTATTATTATTATTAATCAATGGAAGAATATCTAATACTTAATATTGCCTACTGCAAATATTTACCTGGCTACACTACCCATTTGTGTGGTTGTGGTAATGAAGAAGCATGGGCAGCAATCTATCATAATACCTTGAGAAGTGATTTAAAAATCTGTCTTATCATAGGTTAAAGTTGGGATTCCCAATTATTTCTTTCTACCTATGTATACATTTCTAAAGAACTGAAATACAAGGAAGCCATTCAAAACTTCAAAGAGTGGTTGATATCATGGATTGGATGAAGAAAATAAATTAATGTTTAAACTTGATGAGGCAGGTGTTCCTGATCAAAGAGAAGGTCAGAATTCACTAAATGTTTAGACCTACTATTGGAGAATAAAAGGATAAAATATATTCTTTCCTAACTTAATTCAAGTGCTCTATCATGCCACCACCCTAGTCTCTGCTCTGTAAGTAACACATTAGATTCTCAAAATTTCTCAGGAATACTAAAGTATCTGGGGGACACAACAGGGGGAAAGAAGAGGGAAGGCAGTAACAATGATATAATATCATGATCCAAAACCTGTGAACTAACTACATGCATCTGATATCGAGATGGATGTACAAAATTCAGGGGTTTGAATAATGACTCAATGCATATTTTGTCACATTTTTTACCATCATTGTAGTTGTAATGGACATTTTTGAGTCTGCTGCAAGCAAAAGAAGAAACAGCAACTTGTGGTCTTGTTTAACGCTTTACAAATGTACTACAAATCCACCCAGCACTTCAATTCCAAAATATACTCTGATTCCCTTAAAGAAAAGCAGGAGACTATGACAATACTAAGACTAACATAAGTTAGTTTTAGTCACCATCCTACTTTTTGCAAAATGGCCATAAACAATGATAGACTTCAGCTGTATATGTATCAGCTGGATTACTGCCTATATTGTATATAAATAAATACAGATGTATAAAAGTATTAAAAACTCCAACTCTAAGCTCATGACACTTTTTGCATAGAAACTAACACAAAACTACCCCAGTCAGAACTGTAACGAGTCTGAATTGCTGAATTATTTACACAAGACAACACTCATTTCTTCAGACTGTCTGTGTGTCGTGCATTACTAGGACTCTTCATTCATTTGCTCAAAAAAAGTGAAAGGCAGGCAAAGGATTGTGACAAAATCAGAGAAAAATATTACTGTATTTCTTTTTTCCATATTTTAGAAATTTTTAGAAACTGCCAGCTGCCAGTGTCATGCAGGTGTTGGCGGCCTGTTTGTGCATGCGCACACACCAGCGTGCATGCCTTTGATGGCGTGGCCCACTGGCGCATGGACATGGGCATCAGCCCGCAAGCCATGGGTGCATGTGGCCCACTTGCACATGTGCACACATGCTAGCGCCGCGTCATGCACATGCCTGTTTGTGCATGTGCACATGGGGCCACACATATGCATATTTCCCTGCTGGTCCCTTTCTTTCCGGGCCACCAAGCCAGAAAGGCTGGGGAACTCTATGCTAATCCATGTTTCACAATTCTCGCCAGAGGGATGGGAGTTTATTGGGTTTTGTACTGAGGTTTTATCTTTGAAAACTGCCCAGAATCACCGAGAGTGAATTGGGTGGCTATATAAATTCAGAAATAAATACTGGAGAAATCAAAAGCAGGTAAATAATATCCCAAACAATGTGGGAACACATTATTTCGTAGAATGTCTTTCTTATTAATTGATCACTAAAATCTTTGGATGAGACTCCACATTTGTCTGGTGATTATATGGAAGCTGATTTATTGTGGTGCCATCCACCTCTTAAAATATTCTCATCCTTGGTATTCTGGAAACTCCAACTGTGGCATGTTTAAGGCATCAACTAAAAGTGTAACTTCACCTAACCCAGACATGTCAAACTCAAGGCCCACAGGCCTGCGGGGCCACCTCAGAGAGAGCAAGGGATCAGCCCCCACTGCCCTGGCCCCAGCCTACCCCAGCCCAGCCGGGCGCCTCCCTGGGCATGCACAAAGGAGGAAGTGAGTGCACAGGGGCTGGCAGCAGTCGCAGCCCACCAGCCACACAGCAGCCTATCAGCCGGTGCACTTGGGGTCTCGCAGCCCATACAGTGTAGATGGGTTGGAGTTCTAGGACTGCCAGACCAGCCCTCCAAGCAGCAGGTGGAGGCAAAGACACAGGGGGAGGCACACGATCTGGCCCACTGGATGCATTGGGCAGCCAGCCGCCCACCTGTCCTATCCCAGCCACAGCAGGTGCAGGCAAGCAAAGATGGATAGTGGAGCCGCAACAAGGCAGCCCAGCTGGTTGCCATCATCACCATGCCACAGCTCCTGCCCGGTTGGCCCCCATTGTCCAACTTCATGCTCCAACTCCACTGCACACATGGGACAAGCCTACCACCTACCGCCACATGCCCAATGGGAGGGCAGGGAGCCCCCCCATCCCCAAGAGGCAGCTGGGACTCTGCTCCGCCTGAGCCCAGCCCCAGAGCTGCTCCATGCGTGGCTGGATGCCCCCCCAGGAAGCAGTATTGGGCTGGGGGATCCCAAAGCCCCAAGAGCTCGAGGACCAGGCCAGGCCCCCACGCATCACCACCCATGACTCCGGGTAGCCCACGCCGCTGTCCAGGGTACCCCTACATGGCCCGAGAGGGATGGCGAGGCTCCTCCAGTGAACTAGATCCTGGCGCTTGCCTTGGTCCCGCCCCCTCTGCCAGAGACTCCCAGATCCCCCCCACAGCCCTGCCCAGTCCCCTACATGTGCCCCCCGGCACGAACAATGTCAAGTCAGCCACGCCCACCTGGCCACACCTACCCAGTCACTCATGCCCACCCGGCCATGCCCATCCGGTCCCCCGAAGGCAACCACAATGCTGTTGCGGCCCTCAATGAATTTGAGTTTGACACCCCTGACGTAGCATGTGAGGATAGAGAGGCTAGAAGAAGAGTTAAATGTTTTAAACTGTTTTAAATATTGCAATTTGTTCATTAGTTAACCAATTGCTAGACAAACTCAAACATAATACTTTTGATATTGGGTGGGTGGATGGATGGACATAGACATTTCCAAATATTACTTCACAGGAGTCATATTAAATAAGATTAAATATTATAATAAGAGATAATATACAAATTGTATATTTCATTATGCAATTGTTGAAATTAATGATAATTTGGTCAATTCTGATATCACCCTTTATATCCTGAAATATCAGGATACAAGATACAAGGGGGGGGAATCAGTTATTATATAGCTGTATTATAGAATTCTGATAAATATAAGCATTTTACAATGTACTAGATGCTTACCTTTCTCTGTAAATTTGTTCCTCAAATGCAGCAGTTACTGGGAATAGGCCTTCAGAATTGTGGCAGTCAAAATTAATAGGTGGTAATGAAATACCATGACCAGCTTTGTCTATAGTATGATGTACTCTAGAAACTAGCCGCAGATTACTGGGCAATACAAATCCAGGAGAGGTAGTACATAGAAGATGAATAAGTGGGTAATCCACCTCTCTGGGGAAAAAATAAAAATCATATCAGCAGTTTATGCAAGTATATACTAACTATAAAGCAACAGCACTCTCTTAAATATATTTACTTAAAAGAAAGTCTCTTAAGGGTCACTCAACTTAAGCATACATCAGAGAGCAACCATAATTACACTATTCATTAGAAGAATCTTTCTGTACAACAACTAGAAATACATAGGTATTTTATATATCCACAAATCCCCAACTGTTCCACTAGATTAACAATCAATCCAACGCACAATGTATCTTCATAAATAGCAGGGCAATATGCATACAATATAGTATACCATACATATATAATGAACTACTTCAATATTTTTTGGGTCACATCTATCCATTTTAAAGAATAAAATGAACATTTTATTTATAAAGTGTGCTTCTCTCTCTCTCTCTCTCTCTCTCTCTCTCTCTCTCTCTCTCTCTCTTTCTCTCTCTCACTTGCTGTCTCTCTCGCTCTCTCTCCATACTGTATACATATACATACACACATACACACAGTATAAGCCACAGTATAAGGACTATATAAATCTTTGTCATAACAAAATAAATGCATGCAATATAGTATACTAGCCATATATAATGAACTGCTTCAATATTTCTTGGGTCACATCCATCAATTTTAAAGAATAAAATGAACATTTTATTTATAAAGTGTGCTTCTCTCTCTCTCTCTCTCTCTCTCTCTCTCTCTCTCTTTCTCTCTCTCTCTCTCTCTCTCGCTCTCCATACTGTAAACATATACATACACACAGTATAAGCCTCATTGCAGGACTATATAAATCTTTGTCATAACAAAATAAAACAGAATCTGGCATGTTTCAGAAACAAAGATGACTAGCTTTCTTATTCTATAAGAATGATCACATTTCGATTTGTTATGACAAGTCTGAAAACCTCCTGATATGTCACAATGAACCTGTAATGAATGTGGATAGTGAAAAAAGATAAAGATTGCTATGTAATAATGAATTTTCTTAACTGAAAAACTATTCGGAGCAAATCACTTTGAAAGTGCTTGATGAACTATGCAACAAAGTGTATAATCACAATAAAACCGGCTTTACTTTCATCACACACATTCCATTTTTTTTCTGGATTCTAATCTTTATGTCTTTTCTTAACCTGACAACTAGTCTATATTTTTGCAAAATATTTGTACAAGTGAATGGAATAAACATTAACATTAATGTTCAGCACATTTTGTTAGTAGTTTTACATTTATCTAACTAGTTTCAATGTCCAACATGATCTCCAAAAGCGGATTAATTTAGCAGACAAAATAGAAATACTCATAGCAAAAACTAAAACATTTAAAACAGATTATAGGCAAAGGGGTGTGTTTTTACAACACATACTCTCCTTAAGCAGTCTATTTATCATCCTTTGAAAGAAAAGACAAGAAAAACAATACTATGTGTGTGGCCTACATTAACCTCACTCAATGGGTCTTTTTTTCACAAATTCATGCTTTTTCTGCACTACTGATAATTTGACAGTGACTTTTTATTAAAGTAAAATACTCATTGTCTGCTGTCATTATTTGTTTTAATATATAATCTTGCCAACTGAATGTATTTAAAGCAATGCAGATAAGCAATAGCATGCACAAGGTCACCTAAATGTCATTTGACTGTTTTATAAACTTTGACATTCTTCTTCTCTGAGCCTACCCTCCGTTACTTAACTGAAAGTTATATCCATTCACGAACTTCAGGCCTGCTATAAAAAGATTCTCTTACAAGTCGAAGAAAATCACAAAAGCTAATTATGAAAGCCTTTTTTCGCATCCATAAAATACTGAAACAGTAACTCAGGATTTTCCACAATAAGATCTTATATGCCAAAAGAGTGGAGTGTAAAACTAAATGAAAAGCTCAGGATCAGGCAAATCATATCAGTTTAATATCAAACCATGTTTAGTAAGATTTATTCTTTATATTGAAAAAGAACTTATTTCCAAGCAACTGTATTGTTATGTCAGCCAACATTTCTGCCAGCGCTATTATGAGTACATTAGGTTGCCTTGGTCAAACTCTTGTTCTTTTAAAACACCATTGTAGATCTATAATCAGCCATACATTCTTGTTCAAATTACGTGTGTGAGTGATTTTTATCAACCTAAAGCTAACGTAAATGTAAAATCACATTATTAATTATTAACATTACATTACATCAAGAAATCTTAAGCTCACTTGATCTTTGTAGTCCATGTAGAAAGGAGAGATACGGGTTGTTGATACTGAAGATCTTCTACACTTTTCTGAATTTCAACAGGTCTAGCCTTTGGAAATGCTTTTCCTTGTATTATCAAGCCCATGCTTGAAGACGCAAAGTCCTATATGAAGACAATAATAAAATCAAACTGTTCAAGAATGTGATGAAAATATTTGATGAAAATAAACTCTGAAGATTGTCATCTAGGGTTGTTGGGTCTGTCTTTTTGTAGACCAGAAATAGTAAGAACTGATTTATACACACGCAAAAATGGATTTCAAATTGTTTCCAAACTAAGACTAAACTTCCCTGCTTCAATTTAATCATAGACATATAAACTAAGATTTTATATTTCACCTTGGAAAATTAATAAAAAGTATATTCACTAGGAACAATTAAACATAATTATAAAATAATTATATAATTTAATTATATGATAATTGAACATTAAGCGTTCAGAGAATCGGAGACTTGGAACGTCCATTGAAGCTATTGATTCCAACATATTGCTAGTAAGCCCTCACAATGTTTGCTATGCACCAGAATTCCCCATGAATAAACTATTCTTCCCTTCACTGAGAGACATAGTTGGATGTTTACTCAGACTTCCTGAATCATTCTTGGTCCTCAGTGTCATACTGTGGGTTAAGCCTTAATGTATGGACCAAGCAATGCCTTCAATGATCCAACTGGAAGGAAAAATGATTGTTCTTACTTCTAATTTTTCTTCAGTAGAGACATGCAGCAAACCTTTTGACCTTTCAACAATTGACTCCGGTGTCTCTTCAATCTCTGAAAACGAATAATTTTCACTTTCATGTATGCTTTGTTGCTCTGGTGAAACTGTTTTAAACACATAATCTGATTCTTCTGTAGCTGTTGGCATTACTCCATTTGCAACCTGAGGGAGAATGTAGTCAAGATATTAGTTTTATTCCACTAATATATACAATCTCTGTTTTTGAGCTAATTTTTTTTAATAATACAAATGAAACTCTACAATGAAGTCAACTAATAAGAACTATAAAGATATGCTTAAAAATTGGAACATCACATGTCTTTCAGATTTTTTTTTCAAATTATGGTACTCTTGTAACTTGCATTGGGAAAACATAGACATGGTACTAGCTATCATCCGAAATCCAACCATGGCAATCAGTCATAAGATAATTGTAGCTTAATGGGTTACATATTTTATGTTAATAAAATATAATTCCAATCAGTGATTATTCCAACTGATGTCTTTTATCTATTGAGCAGTTGAATCATGCCATCAAGATACCTCTATTGGTTGGTTATTAATGTCACTACACCTATAGTTTCTCTAAATAGGCCCATGCTTTGAAGACATTTTCTAAAAACAATTTTTGATCCCCATTTGAGACCTTTTTATAATATTTCCTGCTTAAATTCCTACATCTTGTTCAATATCCTGCTCATTATCTCCTAGGTGTTTATAATTTTGAATGAAGTTGTCTCCTCCATTAGTAATCTTTTGCACCTTGCTCAAAAAATAACATTACAGTTCCTAAACAGGGTTCTCTCTCTTCCATACATTGTTGCCCCCAAGTTTTTAAGATATAACTTTTAATTTGTGAAATTATGAGTTGTTAAAGAAAGAAAAGTTTAAAGAACATTCAACAATAATTTTTCATAGAATATTGTTTACAAATGGCGTTTCAACTTCAAATATTGTAATGTTGACACTGCAGTACCTAGGCAGCTTTGACTAATCTTGGAAAGCTAAGTAGGGTAGGCCTGGTTGGGATAAGAAACTAACAGGAAATACTACTCTGTAAACTGGACAGCAAAGTCAAGAAAAACATCTGGAGAAGAAAACAGGAATAAACGACTCTCATACTGTTGTCCCGAAAAGTATACTGTATTTGCATGTCCATGAAGCCACGCCCAACTTGAAGAACTCCCCTTATTGCAGTTTGTTCTGGATCATACTTTGGGTCAATTGAAGAAAATGTATATGGAGAATCACGTAGTGGAAGAAAATATTTTGTGAGGTTTGGGAAAAAATATAAACAATTTATTTGAGAAAACTGCTAGCATGAAATCAATGGCATATACTTTCCTTACAATAGTACTAGATGGGAGTCCTGATTTACACTGGATCATCCACAGGGACCAAATCTTAAAAGCATTCATGCTGAGGAGTTCATACACTCATTAAAAAGACATGCAAATAAGAGGCAGTATGCATAATGGCCCAGTATTCTACAACCATGTCACATCTACTGACTGCAGAGATGGAAGCAATGGACAATTTCTAAAAATATAAGGACAGAAACCTGGGGCTGCAAAAGTGATTTAGTCATGTTTTTACTTCATCTTGTATAGCAGTGATGGCGAACCTTTTAGAGTGCCCAAACTGCAACCCAAAACCCGTTGGGTGCCGGGTGGGTATGGCCCATTGGGTGGGCGTGGCCCATTGGGTGAGCGTGGCTGCAGTGGTAATGGCAGACTGGGTGGGACTGAAAAGTTCAATCAATCAATTCCAACTTTGCAAGATCTTTTTTTTCCTCACGAGAAGTTGAAATTGACTGATTGATTGAACCTTTTTTTTTTGCACATGGCGGCAGAGGCCTAAAGCAAAAAGGTTTTATAAAACCTAGCTGAAGGCCTAGGAATGGGGCAACGGCGCGTGTGCCCACAGAGAGGGCTCTGAGTGCCACCTCTGGCACCCGTGCCATAGGTTCGCCACCACTGTTGTATAGGGAACAGCCAGTCACTGTTACTCAGTGTAAAGGAAAAAAGCCCTCTACACATGACTAGAGACACTTTTTTTCATAAAATGTCTGCTGTCTCCAAGCAATAATGTCTTTCATTTGCCCAACCAACACAGAGACTATTTAAAGACCTATCTCCTTTCATAATTTGAAAGCTATTGAAGTGCTGGGGGCAAGCCCCATATTTCCTCACTCTATCCCAAAACTGCCATAGTCCTGGTTGCCATAACTTTTTTCCCCCTCCTTCAATTTTAGGTTGGTTTGAACATCCTGTGTCTATTGAAGGAAAACAGAGGCTATTGGAAAAAAAATCAAATCACATGAAGGGAAAATACTTATGGTGTAAAGTAAGTTACCCAACAAAGCAGGTTGAAAGAAAGAAAAAATCAACAGCAGCAAAATGAGGATAAATAGGATGCATTAACCTCAATTCCAGCAATATGTTCTCTCATTTCAGAGGGTTGCAGCTGCACACTGTAGGAAATGGATCTTGCCTGGGAGCTCTCAGCTATCTCCTGAAAAATATGTAATACAGAACAAAACTACCTTTTTACAAAAAAATAAACCATCATAATACAATCCAGCATTTAATAAGTCATAACTGAGGGACTCTACGGACATATTCTTGATGATTAAATGAAGCATGAAAGCGTAACTAAATTCACAACCATCACAGAAGAAAGCAGCAAAGAATTATGGATAAACTCTACACAATAAAGTTTATATCTTGTCCCCGATGCAGATTTGAGGATGCCAAAAAACAGATGATGCTCAATAGTGTATATATATTCAATCCATAAGAGAATTTTAAGTGTATAAACAGCAATGTATGAAAAACAAGCTTTCTTTCCGTTTTCAGTAGGTTCAAATTTTGAACTTGCTATTATCAGACAATACTTATATTTATACCCTAATGCAAGGGGTTTTGAGCTGTGGTTCATGCGCAGATTTCAAGGGTTTTGCATGGGAAAAATTATATTATTTTCACTAACTTCAAATTGCAATGTAGTTGTAAATAACAATTTATAGCCTCTTGACCAGGGGTTCCTAACTCCCGGGCTGCAGCCCACTCCCGGGCCTTGAGCCTTTCGAAACCAGGTCACGGAAGTGGCGTGTGAGCACATGCACGCACCTCCCCATTCACGTGAGCAGCGGACAAATGCATGCATGCACGCTCCATTTGTGCAAGCAGCAAGCACACATGCCCACCGCTTGCACAAATGGAACTGCATGTGTGCACACACTTGCCCACCATGCACATGAAATGATCCCCCTTTTTTTTCCCCACCGGTCCGCAAAGCCAAAAAGGTTGGGGAACTCTCCTCTAGACTACAAAAATGTTTGTTAACTTCAATCAATCTTGCTATCTAATATTATTATATCTTTAAAAAGTGTACTGTCTTGTTATTGATTTATTGGATTAATAGAAAAGCAAAGTCATAGCTATATTGCATAGTTGCTATTTTTAATATTTGGGGCTTTAGTTTCCTTTTTAATACAATCTATATCTATATATTTTATTTTATCACACAGATATATTTTTCTGAGATGGGGTCTATGGGTTTCACCATACTCTTAAAGAAGTCTTTGGCACAAAAAAGATTATGAACTTTTGCCTTAAAGATTTTTCCTCTTATGGAACACTCTTAGCAATAATGTCCACGCGTATATGTTGGAAAGGTCAAAAAAGTCAGTGGCAGACACAATCATGTAACAGAAGGCCTGCCCCTTTTTACATGTGAATAGCATAGAACAGAGGTCCCCAACCTTTTTGACAACAGGGACCTGTTACATGGAGAGAGGTTTTTCTGCGGACCGGAGGTGGCGTGGTTTTGTGTGCTGCCTGCATCCTGCAGATGGAGCTTTGCTTGTTTGTGCAGCCCAGTTGCTGGTATGCTGCAGCTCGGTACCAGTCCATGGACCGGGGGTTGGGGACCCCTGGCATAGAATTCTTTAGAATAGAATTCTTTATTGGTCAAGTATGATTGGACACAGAAGGAATTTGTCTCCGGTGCATAAGCTCTCAATGTACATACAAGCAACAAGTGATAAATCATGATCATAATCATCAAATACAATCATCATAAATCATAAGATACAAGCTCAGTGATAGTCATAGGATACTAAATAGACATAAACAACATAAATCATAATAGGATACTAAATAAAGGCACTCAACATAAATCATGAGTTACAAACAACAAAGTTATACTCATAAGAAGCTACGGAAATAGGTAATAGGAAAGATGAAAAGATGAGAAGGGTAATAGGTAATACAGCCCTATTGGGTGTTTTGACATCCTAGAGCATAGACAGTGTTGTGGGAAATAGTTGTTTAGCAGAGTGATAGATTGGGGGGGGGGGGACTGTGTCTGGTTGTTTTGGCATGCAATGCCCTATAGTGCCATCTTGAGGGAAGAAGCTGAAACAGTTTATGTCCAGGATGTGCCAAACCAGACAGTTATAAAGGTATAAATGACAGACTCAATCATTCCTTTGTAGAACTGTATCAGCAGCTCCTTGGGCAGTCTGAGCTTTCTCAGTTGGCACAGGAAGAACATTCTTTGTTGTGCTTTTTTGATAGCATTTTTGATGTTAGATGTCCATTTTAAGTCCTAAAATATTACAGGACCTAGAAACTGTATATGTACTGTATAAAATACACTTTAATAGGATGGGGCTTTGATTGTGCAGCTATGGCCATCATCCTGACTTTTTAAAAAACTTCTCCCTTCTCCCTGTGGGTGTAGCTGATCATATGTTAAGGATATCCAGTCAGAATCATGCTACTTTTAAAATATTTTTTATAATATTTTATAGAATTATGTTAATGTAAAGAACATTATTCAAAACTAGAAGAAAACAAGAAAAAGGATACTAAAAACAGTTGTTAAGAAAGAACAAAGTATCAACTAAGATCAAATAAGTCAAAACAGAAGTTTTTATTATTCTGTTATCGCACCTCTAGTCTGGAAGTGTCTTTTGCACTTTATGAGTTTCCTCTTGAGTTTGCAAACAAATACTCTTACTTTCAGGTACATTATGGAGGAAAATGAAGAACCACCTACTTTTTCAGAGTATTAATGTTATTTTCAAAACAAAAAGGAAACTCAAGAGACTCTCTTTCAGATCAGAAGTGAGCAGAAGAAAAAAGGGCTGCCATGATTTGTTCCTTTTGCCATACATGGCTGACAACAGCTAGCATATTGATGACTGTCTCTTGTACATGTAGACCTGTCAGTATGCTCTCAGATTGTGGGTGGCTGCCTGTTGCTCTCCCCTAAAGAATTTGGAAAAAACAGCAATCAGACTTTAAAAAAAAGTTGTTCAATCACCCCTATAGTTTTGCAAGGGCTGTTAACGTTGTAGTGGCTCCTTCTCTCACAGACACACAGATACAGACACGCACCAACAATTGTTAGAGTTAGTCAAATTCAGATAGACTTCCTTCCTATGCTCAAGTCAGCATTATGCCTGCCAGACAGTAACCAACAATAGCCATCTCACATTAGAAACTTTATAAAAGTGTAACTACCATTTTCAGTGAACACTATATCTACTGATTTTATTTTGTTTTTCCTTTGAATCAATCTTGACTCCTGAATTTTTGTCACAAATGATTTGCCATTGCCTTCTTCTACAGAATAACTAGCTCAAAGTCATCCAGCTGGCTTTGTATCTAAGGACAGACTAGAATTCAGGATGCCCCCCCCCCATTTCTACACTGGTGCCTTAAATTACTACACCAAACTGGAGTTGTCTTGGGTTGTTTTTAACAATTTGGCACTGCCTTGAATGTATTTTTTTTTATTATTATTATTTATTTATTTATTTATTTATTTATTTATTTAAATATTTATAGGCTACAGGCACAATCCACAAAAACAGATAAATCAATAAAACCAAATTAAATAAACAAATTAATGCTTGCAATTTAAACATGTACCACTTGCAGCAAGGCAGTGAAAGGACAAAAAGCACTGACTAAGTTGGGGATCAGAGGCCCCAGAAAATGACTAACAGCCATATTAAGAGGAAACATAACATTCATCTACAAAAAAACTTACAAACAGCAGGATCAGAAGCAAGAAAGAGAAGACAGAGAAATGGGAAGATACATAGTCTTAAGTATTTCATAGCATCTTCTCCTTCTTGCTGTACTTTGCGGGAAATGCTCCCCTTTTGTAAGGTCTGTGAAAAGTAATAATGCACAAATACAATGTACTTGTCTAAAAATCAAACATATATGCACACACAAAGCCCAAACTAAAATTTTAACTATCACAGAAGAATGTAGGAATGTTGTATCCATACACTATGTTATGTATTGTCATTTCATTTCCAGGGGTTTCTAAAAGAATACTCTGAAAACTACCACTAATAAAAATAATGATAATTACAGTTTATAGCAACTTCATTGCTGCAACTTTACATAAGTCACCTTTCATCTAAATAATTCAGTGACATTAATGATATTTTTAAGACAGGGAGAAAAAGAAAGCAGAATCTATTTCAGATGAGGAATTTTCAAAAAAATATTAATTGTTCTCAAACATAGAAGCATACAATTTTGTTAATGAATGCATAGCAGAATATCAAAAAACAGGCTTCAGTGTGGAAGTTCTCTGTATATCTGACACATCCAGTGGTGGGATTCAGCCGGTTCGTACCACTTCGGTGGAATCAGTAGCTAATTTTTTGTTGCCCAGGCCCAGAACGGACTTCCGGAAGTGGCATCCACACAGAGAACCAGTTTTTCACATATTTGAATCCCACCACTGGACAGATCTTATAACTTTACACTAGATATCAACAAACTGGCACCTTTCAAATGTTTTTGGACTTCAACTCAGACCAGCCTAAATCAAGCTGTAATAATTTTAATCCAAAATATGAGATGGAACCAAGATGAAAGTCTTGCTAAAACTAAGCCATTCAGCAAAACAAAGACATATTTAAATCAGATCAAGAAAATGGACCAATTTCCCATTCATATATAATTTTTGTATAAAAAAATATTCCAGTCAAGTAGAACTGAGAACCTTGCGGATACCATGGAAGACACCAGAAGTCACGTTGATGCCTTTTTTGTCTGAGTGACCTACCTTCAGAGTAGAGTACAGAATCAGAAGTTAAGAAATAAGTATCTTTTTTTTTAAAGGAGCTCAAATATACCTACTTGCTCTGAATCTTCTGGTATCAGTTGTATACCTTGGTATGCAGATGGAGATACAGATCGATCCTTTCTAATGTGAGATGGCTTCTTGAAATTAAAAAAATAAAAATAAATTAGTACCAGTATAAGTATCTTACATTTCAATGACATGTTTTAGTTATATAAAATGGATTTATGTATTATTTATTACATGTACACCCTGCCACAATGCTGTAGGGCTCTCAGTAGTTTTCAGGAACAGAAAAACATCTACATCTGCAGTCAGATTAAAATAATGAACCCTTTAAAACATACAAAAGAGCTCTGTTTTCAGCTGCTTCCAGAAGGCATCTGAGTCTATTCCGGTGGACTGGCACTGCTGCAGAAAAACAGCACCTCTGGGCCTCTCAGAAGTGAGGGGAACCATTAGCAGTTTTTCCTAGCAAGATCAAATAGATCAGGTGAATTCTAGTGGACAAGTGCAATCCTGAAAAGAACTTGATGCCAAACCATTAAAAGTTTTTATAGATCAATGCCAGCATTTTAAATCTCCCTGAAAGTTTATAGGAAGCCAATGAAGGCCCTGTAGCATAGATGATGTACATTCCCATTGGCAAGTGCCAAACATTTTGAATGACTTAAATTAAAACACTTAAATCCATGTGGCATGCATTGCTGTAGTCTAAATGAGTTGTGACAAAGGCACAAGTCACTGCAGCTAAGTGATACACCACCTGAACATGAGCAAAGGCCCCCTACCCTCCTGCCCCCCCTGCCCCCCCCAGCAGATGCCATAACTGTGAATCTGTACCTTCAGTGATAGTATACTGGATCCCCCTGACTCTTACTTATAGCTGCCCAAGTACAAATACAAAAATTCCATCCGCTAGCTAAAGCACAGCAGTCACATACAAGACACGAGCATCACAGGATGTCCCTCTCAAACCACATCTAATTATTTGAGACCTCACAAAGCAAGGCTCTGAATTACTTGGTCCCAGGCCCCTTGCCAATTTTGAGATATGTCCCATGATCTTCTCCCTACTCATAGTCAGCCCTCACTTCTGACCTCCCCACCTTCTGCCTGCTCACTGAAACATGTCAATCCAGCCATTGTTGCAGCCTCCATCCCAGAAGATTTCCCCTCTTAGATCTCAAGTCCAGTCCAAAGTTCCAAGTCTAGTCCAAAGTCCAGTTCAAAGTCCACCAAAAAACCCACTGTTCTACTTGGCTCCAATGTGGCTGTACCACATTGATCATTTCTGTTGCAGGCCAGGCAATCAAAAATATTCAGTCATGTCACTATCTTCATTGCCACTTTAGCTCTAGGCATGGATCTTGGGGTACTTATTTATATGTGGTTAGAAAATATTACTAGGATTTGGGGGTACTCAGATTTCAGATCATCACTGATCCTTGAAGAACATGGATCATATGATCACAAAGTCATATCACACTGTGACTTTGAGCCAATTACCCAATGTATTACTTCACCTACTTAACAGAGTTCCTATGAGGATAAAAATGAAGAAAATGACCATGTATGCTACCTTGAGCTGTTCATGGAAAATGTGAGATGTATACATAACGTAATATTTTATCATTGTAGTTCCATGTCTATAGAAGTACTAAGGCTGGTCACTCTTTAGAATTGCAGCTCTTTACTTCAGAAGTCTCTGAAACTTCAAGAGAAGTCAATGAACTGCATATTGGGGAGAAGGAATTCATCTTACCCCGTTCCATGTTGAAATGACTGAACAATTCATTAAAAACCTAAGTTCTACTCTGACAGAAAATGATAAATGTACTAATGCAGGTTTTATCAGGGCAGTCCTTATGTCTTATGTCAGAGGAAAACCTGTAATCCTCCTACAATATCATATTGAACCTTACCAATTTTATAATGTCACTTTCCACTGGTGCCATTCGTACAGCTGGTAACTCCAGTTCATTTGGCTGCATTTCTTTTCTGATAGCTGACTGCTTTATTTTAAAAGAAAAGAATACAAATATTAGAAAGCACAATTTATATGATATATTTAAACTGCACTTGAGGCAGTTGCTAATATAATGAAATATTTATAAATATTATTTATAATATAAAATATTATAAAATACTCATTAAACTGCAGGATTTCCTTGATTGCCAATGTATATGTAAGCAAACACTAACTAAATAAATAACTCAGATTATTCTTTATAGCTGTTGATCTTAGAGAAAAACAAACATTTGTTGAAATTTTATTCACACTATTAAAGATATCTATTCAAGAATTGGCTATACAATCTTTCTATAACTCTTAGAAAGTATATAGCATTAAAAATGCCAGGATATAATTCAGTGAATTTTGGGCACCTTGAACACATACTTAGCAGAATATGAAATGAAAAAAACCCTATACTCTTAAAGAGGGCTACCGAAAAGAAATACTGTAGATCTCCTTCTCTGCCACTGAAAAGGATTCTGCTGTGATCCACCATCCTGTAATAGCATTATGTTGCCATCACAGTAGACAATTAAATGAGACCTAGGATTTGCAGGCCTACTACTCTATTTTCATAGAAGGAAAACATATCTCCATACACACATTACCTGAAACAAATGAGCAGTAAAAGAAAAAGATGTCCAAGCAAAATAGCCAGTATGAGACACCCTGGCCAACATGAGAAATAGAGGCTTTAGAAACGATTCTCAGTTTTTTCCTCCTAAATACTAATTTTCTTGGTCTTTCATCACCATCAAAGCAGCCATGATTTTTAATTTATTTGTCATATGAAAACTTAAATAAGACATAAATCATGAATTTGAAACAATAAGCTCTTACTAAGTGCCAAGCAATAATTGTTCTCAGTCATTCTTGGGATTCCAAATGATTAAATCATTTCTTCTAAACTCATTTCTCTAATTCCCACCAATCCATTCATGACTTCTAATAACATCTTGTACTGGATCACATTCATTGTTGAGCTTTATCAGCAAGCAAGACTGAAGCTAAGTAGGAAAACTCAAGAAAAAAACAAAGAATGTTGGCTAAATAATATTTAAAGAAAAGTTAGGTAGCCATAAGAAAAGGAATGAAATTGATATATACATTGCAAACAGCACAAATAATAGTTAATGGGAAATTGACAAAACCCTGTGGAATACAAAAAGGAATATGTGAAGGATGCCCAGTTTTGCCACTACTGTTAATTTTGGTTATTGAAGTTTTGGAATAGAGACATAACACAAGATGAAAAAAAAGCTATGGAGAAACTTAAATGAGAAGTGTATAAATGAAGGACATTTGTGGATGATATGTTTTAATTTTGGAAAATCCTACAGAAAAATTAGATATATTAATGGAAAAGTTTAAAGAATTTGGTACATTAATGGATTTAAAATTAAGGAGAAAACAAAGATGTAAACAAAAAATATGATTTTCAGAATAAAAAAAGTAAAATACTTGGACACTCTGATAATAACAAATATAAAATGTATATCATTCAAAATATCAAGATTAAAATTAAATTAAGCACTTACTAAAATGAAAAAAGTTACAATTACCATAGTTTGTAAGAATTTCTGTGGTGAAAATAAATATACTATCAAGAATGATTTTTAAATAACAGCTATTTTGAAAAGTGATGCACTTTTGAAAAAAAACAAACCTGACGTTTGGTAGGCATGGCTTTTATAATAAAGTTAAAGTTAATATAGACTTTAAAAATCATTATGTGCAAAGTGCTACATTAAGAATATGGAATAAATACAAGCCCCAAAATACCTTTACTGAATTGGTTTCAGCACAAGAAGCATTCTACAAAAAAAAAAAACAGTGGGCAAGGAGAAAGGGTTAACACATCAAGACTTATTAATACAGAAAAATAGACCGCTTAAAATTGGTAAAATGGGCTGACATGGTGACCAGTTTTACAACTGTCATGACTTATGACTGTAATTTCAGAGCTTAATTATGGTCATCACACAAGGACTATCTGTATATCATTGGTATGTGACTTCAGAGAAATTATCTAAGATACATATAGATACTCCTAGTCAATGTTGGAAATGCAAATAACATGAAAGGACATTTTACCATGCATGAGGGACTTGTGAAAAAGATAAAAAAAAGTTGGATACAAATACATATGTTGATACAAAGAATTTTAAAAATATTTATGAGGTGATAAGAACTTTTCTTATTGAGATATATATAATCATTTAGTATGAAAGATTGATTTTATATATGGTAACTGCAGCAAGATTATTATATGCATAATGATGGAAAAATATTGAAATATCAACAATGGAGGAATGGATTGAAAGATAACAAAAATAGCAGAAATGGCAAAACCAACCTGTTTGGTGAGGAAGAAAACAATCAGTATTTTTATGAATTTTTTGCTGAAAACAGAAATAAATGAAATGGTGATCTGTGGATTTGTTGATTGGAAAAAGGTCGAATAAGAGATAGAAGGGATTTCTGTAAAGTAATTTGAATGACGGAGGATGATAATAACTTTATTTGTAACTGCTGCAAAGAAGATTAGAAGTCAGTACATTGAATTATGGTAAGAATCACATTGATCAGTTTTGCCAAATTTTCCCCATGTTACAAGAGCAACCAAAGCCCAAAGCATACACAATGTTATACAAGGCTCTCTAATGTAGAGATTACTTGCAAGCCAACATACTTGTCCATATTCCTTCATTATGAGGACATGCTACTGGCACATCAAATATAAATAAATACAAATATCTTTATTGTGGTCTTTGATTAGTTTTTACAGAAAAAAAGATAATTTGACCAAAAAAAATCCTTATTGAGAAAGGGAAAACAACATATCTAATTAAAAGGGTTGCAGAGTTGTATAACTGGAGGATATTTGGCCACCTGATATGTGAGTGTAGGATTAGCATCCCTTAAAAAATATATCATGTATTGGTGTGGCCCTCAGTTTTGGAAATGATTGGGGTAATCAGAGCACATCTTGGGACATCATAAAAAGAATACCATATGAGGACATGAGTAAATTTCAACCTTCCTGGATCTATAAGAGCAATATCTCTGCAAATAAGGACTCCCATGAAGTAGCCAGGAGAACTGATGTCAGGGCATCAGTGGGCTCTGGAAGGCCTGTCCACATTTGTACACTCAGATATATTCAGCACTATCTAATGAAAGACAATATATGACTCAGTGCATTTATGGAATATAAATCAATTTCCTGTTAGTACCAACAATTAGCATCACTTAGCAGCTCCAAAGCTTTAAAGCTAGCAGCAGTTTCTCATAGCACTGAAATTATTTCAAGGACAAAAGAATAATCTGCTAAAGATCAGATTCACCTAGTGAAATACTTTATATTGTTTCAGAGGAAAGTTATAATTATTTAATCAGTCTAAATCTGTAAAGTGAACAAACATCAGGAATAAATCATTAGGACAGGCAAATAACAACAGCTTTATCTCTTATTTCAGGCACCTAATCCAACAAAGCAATGGAAGCCTGAATCCAGTTTGGAAATACTTTTGGCAAATAAGAGCAGCAGCAACAACAATAAACCTTAATGATTAATTTCACAAGATCAAGTTCACACATATGCCAAGATCTCACATGTCTAAGGAAGCAGTCAGAAGTGTTAACATCAAACAGTTTTTCTGAAAAAAGCAGGCATGCTTATTGCTGCAAGGAAATTCAATGCTGACAGAAAGATTGAAGTCACTTCCACGCCCACTGATTTTTTGCCTGCCCATGGTCATTTTGTTTCTGTGTTTAGATACGGAAATACCTCCGAAACTATGACCCAATGGGTCATAATTGTCTAGTTCTGATGTTCATTCTTCTATGACCCCACCATTTACAATTCTCCTATACAGCTAGGTGGGAATAGATACAAACATAAATAATACACCAAAGATCTCCATGAATCTAAAGAAATGGATATACCTCTAAAAGCTTAAACCATAATATATTTGTTAGAGTATGAGATGCGACAAAAACATCTTAATTTGAAACTGCTGACTTGATTGATCACAGAGTAATACAATGAAGTTATTATTTACATTGGTTGTGTTCATGCATCACACGGAACTATAATTTGATTTGGTGTTAACTTAAAATTTATCTTTTATTTTAGTATATTTTGACTTTGAAACAAGAATACTTTGCATACATAGATCAGCAACGTACATATTTTTAGCTAAAGAAATCCTTACCAAAGGAGAATCCATTTAAATGTGGTCAATGTAACTTTTAACCAACAACAACTAGCAGAAAGGAAGTAATAGCAAATATTATTAAATATATTATATTTTTCAAAATGTTGTAATACATTATGTTTGAAGTCTCAAAAGTGCTTTTTTTTCCAAAAGGCAACTGGACTTCCTTGGATTTTTTCTTTGAAACATTTTCAAAGAAAAAACCAAAGAAATCCAGTTGCCTTTTGGGAAAAAAAGCATCTTTGGGACAACCATGATTTAGATCAGTGGTGGCAAACCTATGGCACGGGTGCCAAAGGCGGCACTCGGAGCCCTCTCTGTGGGCACACGTGCCGTTGCCCCAGCCTTGCCTCCCCCACGACCCCCTCACCAGCAGCCCCCCTGGAGAAGAGCGGCCCCAGAGCGTGGCCCACGTGGAGCAGTGCAGCCAAGGACATGGCAGCCAGACAGAGTAGACAAGACTCTGCCCTCACGCCCCATCGTGCAGTTGATGCTGCGGGGTGCGGGCAGAGGGCGTGGCCGCCATGGCGCTGCTGGGTGATCTGTGGCGGGCCCTGGAGGCGGTGAGTGGCCCTGCGGGCAGGTGGGGTGGGGGCGGGGCAGGGGTGTGGAGTGGGGCGGGGCCAGTTTTTGGGCACTTGGTCTCTAAAAGGTTCGCCATCACTGATTTAGATGATTGAGAATCTCCACAGACATTATTTTTAAAGGCAATTTTAATAAATCTTATTAATCCAAGCTTCTTTAACTCATTCTAGTTTACCTACTTGAATCTTTATGAGATAATCCTGGCCAAGAATACTCTCCAAGAGTTCTTTGATCTTTAAGTCTGAATCAGTGGGAACAGTAGACTTTAAAGATTCAATTATTTCATCAATAGATCGTGAAACGATTCCAGAAGGCAACTTTGAAATGGAATGAGATGCTTGTGACTTGCTGTATGAAGAAAAAGATTTCAAATGTGATTTTGAAAGACCTAGTCTACTTTCAGATATGGTTTCTTCCAGATGTGCTGGAGCAAATTTAATACTAGATGAAGCACTGCCTTTTGTACTGTAAGATCTTTCTAAGCAACTGGGTACATTTGATTCTGAGTCTTCTTTAGAAATAGTCATAGATTTTTCATGTACACTGGAAATCACAGAAGAGGTATCATCAAAGTCTGCAGAGCTGGTCCCTGCTGTGGGAAGAACTATATGCTGAGACAGTATTTTTTGTTCAAGTGGTTTACTACTACTAGCATGGCTATCTTTTGACTGACCTTTAAATCGTAATTTTGCACAAGGAATCTTTGGAGATTTTGGTTTCAGTGGTCCTGGTTTTTTCAATATGGTCATCTGCTTGGTGGTTCCTACGAAAGAGGCTATTAATACTGGCATTTTTTCAACTTCATCTCCTGGGCTCTCACTTTTATGTTCTAGGATGGCTTTTCCAGAATGAAAGGCCTTTTTTTTACCATCAGTATGGTTCTGCTTCTTAGAAGATTTCTTTGGCTGACTTGGAGTATCTTCAATCTCAATTGTTTCTTCTTCTTCATCACAAGCAATCCTTACTTTTTTCTGGATTCCAGAAATATCCAACTCAGAAGAAAGTTGTTTGCTTTCAGAACATAGAAAGGGGCTTATAGTTTTAGAATGTATCTGAAGTGACTGACTTGATGGTGTAACTTCCTGTAAAGCTTTGTTTACATTTCCATGGTCAGAAGTAAATTCTTGTTTAAATTTCATAAATTCATGCTTAGATTCTTTACATATATTTTCACGCTCCTTAACTATATTCAATTCTTCCAAATAGCTTAATCCAAAATGTTCATGTTTTCTAGCCATTCTTAAAGCCTGGGGAAATAAACATAAAATGTTGCTCACTGAAAAATGAACAGGAATATCTAAACATAATGGAATGGTTCTACATTTACTTAGTAAATTAAAATACTTCTGAGTATTTATTAGCCTCTCTACAAGTTACTTTAGACATCTTGGATACCATATTAAGATGAAAACCAAATAATAAGAAATATAATGATCATAGAGTAACGTTTCACATCAATTATGTCATTCAAATTTCTCCTTCCCAAATGTTATGTCTGATATACATACATCAAGAAAACTATATAATTGACTAATAAATTTATAAAATGTTTAATCCAATTCTATATACAGGTAGCTCTCTACTTACGACCACAATTGAGCCCAAAACTTCTGTCGCTAAACGACACAATTGTTAAATGAATTTTGCCCCATTTTACGATCTTTCTTGCCACTATTATTAAGTGAATCAATACAGTTAAGTTAGTAACACAATTCTTAAGTGAATCTGGCTTCCCCATTGACTTTGCTTGTCCAAAGGTTGAAAAATGTGAACATTTATGAACCTTGCAATGGTCATAAATACGAACCAGATGCCAAACATTTGAAGTTTGGTCACGTGGCCGTGGCGATGCTGCAATGGTTGTTAACTGTGAAAAGTGGTCATAAGTCACTTTTTTCAGTGCCATTGTAACTTCAAACGGTCATTAAATGAACTGTTGTAAGTTGAGGAATAACTGTATATATACATACATAGATACATATATAAATATATACATATATACATATATACATACATGTCTGATCATTTGCAATCCCTCCCATTCAGAGAAAACTTGCTACCAACCTCGTTTGACGAAATAGATGTCACTAGGCTAGTTAGTGAAAGCAGATCTGCTGTTCAATCCTATATTTTTCTGCTCAGCAGGATGGTCCACATAGCTCAGCAGATCTTATCCTAGGTACACTCATCTAGATCTGCAGCTTTAGTAGCATCTGCTTTTCAATTTGAATAACAGTACATAACAATATTAAAAATAAGCATAATATCCCTCCCTCCCTCCCTTCCCAAGAATGTATTTTGTTCCTCCAGAAAGTAGGAGCTCACTCCAGCTTTTACAAATACAGTACTTGCATCACAAGTAACATTTCTACTTTTTATAGTTGGCTGCTCAATTATCAGGGGGAAACTATTTTACTCCATCTATTGTTCAAACAGTTCTTAACTGTTCAATGGTTAAACAAAGCAGCTCTAAATCATACTATAATTTTCCCCCTTCCCCCACCCCCCAAAAAATGCTGGGTATTTTGCCTTTTCAAAAATATCCAGCTCTTTTTAAAATGGGGAGGAGTGGGGTGGAGCGGGGGAATGCAAAATGTTTCTGCGAGACGACACACACACACACACACAAACACACAACCTGCTTCGTCTCTCAAGGCAAAGGCGCTCACCTCCCCGGCAGGCGCGGCCGCTCAGCCTCTGCGCGACGGAGACGCAGCCGGAGCTGTTTCTGCGAGGCTCAACCGGGCTCTACGCGCTTCGCGGCAGCCAACTGCGGCGTCTCGGACTGGCCTTCCGCAGGGGAGGAGGGACGCGCGCGGTCCCCTAGCAACGGCCTGAGCCACGGGGGTCCGGAGGAGAAGAGGGATTGGTAGGCTGTAAAGCTGGGGTGTCCGCGGCAGATGGCAGCACCTAGATGACCTTGCCCATCTCCGAAGCTAAGCAAAGTTGGTCTGGGTTAATAGCTGGAGGGGAGACCGCTAGGGATTCTGAGGCTTTTGGGTGGGATCGTCAACATCTCGGAAGAAAGCAGAAACAAACGACTTCTTTAACACTTGGGTGCAATTCCCTCTCTTATGGCCTCTCTTATGGTACCAGCCCAGCGTGCAGGCTTCTTTAACTTTACATTGGCTCTGATGAGATAAGCGCCCCCCTCCCCCACCCATCCGCAACTAGAACAAGGATTGGGAGGAGAGAAAAGGCCTACCCTCCACTGGCAGTTTATGCACCTGGGGCTAGAGAATGGTGGGGTGAATGGGACTACATCTTTGGAGTGTACAAGCACTAACGGTAGCTGCAGAAGAGAGAACGTAGAGTTTTTCAATTTAGCCAGCCTAACTATCATGCTGGTTCTTTCTGTTTTAATGATCTAAAGTAGTAGATTTGTTGGATGAGCCTTACCCTCTCACTTACCCCATAAAACAGATTGGTGAAAAGTTTAAGTATGTAGACTAGTTTGTGCAAAGTTAATTTTTCTTGTCCTATGTTCCCTATGTAACCAGAACATATAAAGGTAATCCTTGACCGGTAACCACCCTTTGTTGAATAACTATTCAAAGTTACAACGGCACTATAAAAAGTGACTTTTCACATTTACCACCATTGCAGCATCTCCATGGTCACGTGATCAAAATTTGGATGCTTGGCATTTGGTATGTATTTATGACAGTTGCAGTGTCCCAGGGTCATGTGATCATGTTTTGCAACCTTCTGACAAGCAAAGTCAATGGGGAAGCCAGATTCACTTAACAACCATGTTACTAATTTAACAACTGCAGTGATTCACTTAATAGCTGTGGCAAGAAAGGTCGTAAAATGGGGCAAAACTCACTTAATAACTGTCTAGCTTAGCAACTACAAATTTGGGCTCAATTGTATTTATAAGTGGAGGACTACCGATATCATATTATTAACTGAGAAAGAGGAATGTATCAAAAAGCATTCCTGGTGTTATTATTTATTATGATAATTAATAAAGGAGGATACAACAGTGAGAACAGATTCTGAAAGATCACCGACTAACTAGTGAATGTTAGATAGCATCTGTGATGCAATAAAGAGTATGTTTTGTTTTGTTTTTATGAAAATGAAAGGCACATATACTAGAAAAAGAAACAGAAATAAGCTGAATGTAAAGATCTAAAACCTACACATAGCCTGTGATGGAAATCTAATTAAAGTCTTAGATGCTGTAAAGAAAAGACTTGCTGCCCAATGTGCTCTGCATGAGACATGATGATGATGATGATGGTGGTGGTGGTGGTGGTGGTGGTGGTGGTAGTGATGGTAATGATGGTGATGGTGATGCAGTCAAGAACAGAAATTGACCCTCTGGCACCATGATCATGTTGAACAGGTGAAATGGAACAGACTGGAAATCATTATCATGATCATCATTATCATTAATATCAACAAGGTACCAAGAAGATCTATTGAAAATAGTGCAAAAAATTGAATGGATTATGTAGAAAATCTTGACTCTAAGCATCCCCCAAAAATCTTTACCCAGCCCTTTCAGACTTTAGTTGCTTTGATTTTGTTTTTGCATCTTTTTAAGAAAGCATCCAGTTTAAATCTAATTCACCACCACAGTAAAAACTCGATTCATCATGGAAAAGCAAAAACAGAAGCAAGTCCAGTTATGCAGAACTGAATTACTTTCTTCAGACCATATGTCATCTTAAAATCCTTTTCATTATCAGCCCTACCATGAGTCCAGAAACAATGCTGACATATTTTTGATACAACTATAAAGAAAATAAATTAATCAATTTGCCTTTCCAAAATGACATTATTGATCCATTTAATTCTTCTTAGATTTGCAGTAATCCTTGACTACTCTATGTAATTTTGAAAGTCAACGGGCCTATCTTCTTGGAGAAACAAAAACTAGAAAGCAGCAAAATTAAGAGTCGATATGAAATCTGTTGGATTATATGTATATTCGTCCCATTTGAAAGTAGAAATATAAAAATAGAAAGGACAAAAAATTTTCATTGGATTTAATATGTTTTTCCCTTTCATCTCCAGAAAACTTTAATATCAGAGACGAACATATAGAACCATATTTCCAAACAGTAATTAGACTTGGAATTTGAAAAAAATAGAGACTAAGAGAGATTACTAAAAAAAAAAAAGGGGGGGGGAGGAAGTGTGCATTTCCATATTGTCCTTGCAAGTACTCAAAATGTAAACAAAAATGACCCCAATTTGCATAAAATCGGATGTCTTAAGTTCATCAGCTCAGTATTCAAAAGCAGAGAAAATATTATAGTTATCTACGGGGCAACTTCTTAAGCTGTGTGCAGCTATATAAAATACTGCATTTCTAATATTTGTATTCTTAATTCAAATTAAAATAACTTATTTTGCCATCAAGTACTGCCCTCTACAGTTCAACTCTTTATTCTGTACTTGTTTTCAATTTCCTGCAATGGTATACCTTTATTAAGGCTAGTTGTGTGCTGCAAACATTTATAAATAATCCTCCTCCTCCTCCTCCTCCTCCTCCTCCTCCTGCATTTCTAGCAGCTTTTTGCTTTCTATTCTACCCATGGGAGTCACTGGGAGAAAGACTGATAGTAATTAAGGTAACAGTGGGATAAGAATCATACATACCAATGGGATTTTTAGGGAGCAAATTAATCCACAACTAACAGTAAATAGGGCATCAATTACCATTTTAGTCTGTCAGGACACCTTCCAGGAAGAGTCACAGCAGGAGCTGAATGACATGGCAATGAATGTCAAGAGGTTTTAGCATCAGGAAAGCTCAGGAAGAAGGTGGTGAATAGATCATATTTGCATCAGGATGCCAAAGAAAGCTCACAGTGGGCCAGCAGGCAGGCAGATGGCTAGCCATATTAGTCTGCCTCACAATAGCTTCTTCCTCGGTTGGGATTCTGGTAGAGTGGTGGAGAAAGTTTCAGAGAAATTGGCATTGTCTGCTTTTCTTGCAGTAGGGACAAGAATTGTGAATTCAAAGCCATTCATGGGCACAACAGGAAGGGTTTGATCCTAATTACTTTGAAATTAATAAGAATGCTGTTTTTAACCTCTGCAGGGATTGGTTTGCGCTCCACCACAAAAACCTCCTTCCTGTTTGGGATGAGATTTCTGTTATTTATCAGAAATACCATATCTGTGTGTGAGTTGTGTGTGTACGCACGCACACACATACATACTTATATAGACAGAGATAATTTTGCATTCTAATTAGTATGTAATATTTAGTATTTGA